ATTAGGCTGCACGCCGCAGCGGTTACTATATGGTGCCAATTGAGCGTGAGTGCTAAGTGCGAGTACTGATTGGTAAGAGTTGAGTCACGGGGGACAGAGAGACTAGCCCGAGGGGTGATAGATATATATACATGTACATGAGTGATGTTTTGCCTGAGAGGCCTATTTATGAACTTATTGATTTCACTCCTCTTTAAAGTGAGTTTCTATCGAATATGTTGATATATTGACCGCTTTCACTCATTTTTTTTATATTGAGCCTCTGTCGAAATGTTGAACAAATATTTTAAAACAACTTTCATTTTAGCTGGGGTTTATGAGCTGTTCAGAATTAAATCACTGATTTGGCATTAGATATTTCCACTGAGATTTTCAAGTTGTGAAGTGTTTATGATTACCGTTTTGCCCGAGGGGCTGTTTTACGAACTATGTTTTGCCCGAGAGGCCGACTATGGCTTTAATCTCTTTTATTAATTTAAATGGTATTGAACCCCTACTGAAACTGCTGGAAGGTATTTCAAAATGATTTTTACAAAAAGTTGGATTTTAATTGGGAAGATTTACTCGTATTGTGATTTGAAAGCTTGTTGTGCTTATTGAGCCTAACGTAAATGTGAATTCATCGTTTCCTACTGCTCAGTCTTTATTTACTCTTATTACTTACTGGGTTGGAGTACTCACATTACTCCCTGCACCTCGTGTGCAAATTCAGATATTTCGGAACCCGGTAGCGGGTGCTGGTTGCTCAGACGCGGAGTCATCAGAGTTAACAAGGTGGCTCCACGACGTTCGCAGCACTGCTTCTTCCTTCTCACTTTCATTTCCGTACTTAGTACATTTTTACTATTGTTGTTGTATTCAGACCTTGGTAGATGCTTATGTCTAGTGACACCCCGAAGTCGGGCTTGTATATTAATTCCACATTATTCTTTCAGACGTATATTATAAAACATTGTTCTAATTAAAGGTTTAAAAAATGACGCTTAATGATTAAAGGGTTAATGTGGGTGTTGTGTCGGCTGGCCTCGTCTTCACGAGAGGCGCCATCACGACCGGGCCGGTTTGGGGTGGTGACATTGAATCTGCACACACGGAGCAGGGAGTAATGTGAGTACTCTAACTCAGTGAGTAATAGTTATAAATAATGGCTGAAAGCAAGAAAACACGTAAAAGCACAAAGCATTCTATACCAAAGCAGTAAAATCACTTAAGACAGTAAATCAGTGAAGAAATCAAGTAAAACCCTTTCTTAACAAGTAAAACAGGTAATTTGGCAGGTAAATAACAAGTAGAAATCCGCCCCTCAGGCACAGTATCAATCGCTCAGAACAGTATCAGCCCCTCGGGTTCACTCTCAGAACAATATCAGCCCCTCGGGCTCACTCTCAGATCACAATATTAGGCCTGCGGGCTCGCTCTCAGATCACAATGGGTACCCGCGCTCACTGGGGGTGTACAGACTCCGGGAGGGGCCCCTTACAGCCCAACCGCAATATCAAGCTATCTCATGGCATCAAATCTCGGCTCTCAGCCTCACATCACTCAAGCCACCTCGAGGCGTATATATGTATCTCAGGCCCTCGACCTCATATCACTCAGTGTATCCTCACATCTGGCCTTCGGCCGCACTCTGTTCGAAAATCATCACAAACCTCTCGGGCATAAGTAAAACAGTAGTTCTCAGCCCAAAACATCATTTACAAATATCATTTAAGTCTCAAAACTAAGTAAAAGTTGCTGAGTTATAAAAACAGTAAAAAACAGCATGACTGAGTTCAAGTAATAAGTCAATACAGTGAGGAAATAGTGATAAAAATCCCCGAAGGGTTTAAATAGTTGGCACGAAGTCCAAATATGGCAATCAACCCAAATCATGATGACAACAAATAAGTTTCAGTCAAATACATGGTAAAATCATCAATCAGGACGGACCAAACCACAATCCCCAATAGTAAACGACCTCACGCTCATCATCAAGCGCGTGTCTCACCTCAATATAGCACTACGATGTGCAATCCGGGGTTTCAAACCCTCAGAGCATCATTTACAATTATTACTCACCTCGAACTGGCTACAACTCTAGCTCGCGACGCCTTTGCCCCTCGAATCGGCCTCCACGCGCGTCGAATCTATCCAAAATCAAAACGAATACATCACAATATGCTAAGGAAACAAAGCCCAAGCGAAAACAATTGAAAAATATTAAAAATCCCGAAATTAGCAAAACCAGAGCCCCGGGCCCACTTCTCAAAACTCAGAAATTTTCACATCAACGGGTTCCTTATCCTCCTACGAGTTCATATATATCAAAAGTTCTCAAATCCGACCCCAAATAGTCCTTCAAATCCCCAATCAAAGATTCAAAATCCCAAGCCCTAGTTCTTCCATTTTTAGCTTAAGTTTCCATGAATTCCTAGGTGGATTTCACAAAAGAAACACGTTTTACATTCAAAAATCTTACCTCCAATTGATTCTCCTTGAATCCCTCTTTAATCTCCTTCAAAAAGCTCTCAAAATGATCAACTATGGAGGAAAAATGCCCCAAAATCGCAGATGAAATGACTTAAAAACTTTTTGTCCAGTTCTGCCCTTTCTTCATCGCGATCGCGGCCTTAGCCACGCGATCGTGAAGCATAATTTTAAATTTCCCAAAAATACCTTATGCGAATGCGACATGGTCCCTGTGAACGTGATGCTTCAGCTTCCCATACCTATGCGAACGCGAGCCCTCTAATGCGAACGCGAAGAGCAATTCCTCTTGGACCCCATTTCTTATACGCGATCGCGGACAGCCTCATGCGAACGCAAAGCGCCAGATCCCAGCCTTCCGTGAACGTGATGCCTCTCACGCAACGCAAAGGCTTAACTTTGGCCATCCCAAATTCCTTCTACACGATCGCGATATACCCCACGCGATCGCGAAGGCCTAATTCTCTGCAACTGCTGAACACTAAATTTGTAACTCCTAAACTTCAAAAATTGTCCGATTGACCACCCGAAACTCACCCGAGGCCCCCGGGACCTCGACCAAAAGCACCAATACATCCTAAAACCTCATTCAAACTTGTTCCAATCATCGAAACACCTCAAACAACATCAAATCCATCAATTCACATCGAATTCAAGCCTAAGTTTTCTAAAAACTTTCGAAACACGCTTTCGATCAAAAGCCCAACCAAACCACATCCAAATGACCTGAATTTTGCACACACATCCCAAATGACATAACGAAGCTATTTCAACTCTCGGAATTCTATTCGGACTCCCGGATCAAAATCTCACCTACCAACCGAAAATCGCCAAAATCTCAACTTAGCCAATTCAAGCCTAATTCTACTCCGGACCTCTAAATGGGACCTCCCGAAGCTAGCCGAACCATCGGAACTCACATCCGAACCCTCTAACACATAAGTCAATATCCGGTTGACTTTTCCAACTTAAACCTTCTTAAAAGAGACTAAGTGTCTCATTTCTTTCCAAATCCATTCCGAACGCAAACTAATCAACTCGATCACATAAAACACGGATAACAAAGCATAAAGAAGCATAAATGGGGGAAATATAGCGGTAACTCATGAGACGGCTGGCCGGGTCGTCACACATAGGGACTTGCGGGAAGGGGGTGAGGAGAGTAGCATAAAAAATATTTTCCTAAAAAATATTTTCTATTCTAACCAAACACTAGAAAATATTTTCCGGAAAAAAGGTTTTCACTCACCAACTAAACAAGGAAAAATAAGTGATAGAACAACTCATTTTCTAGGAAAACATTTTCCTTCGTACCAAACACACCCTTAGTTCCATAACAATGAAAATTTTTATTAGCCACGTGACTCTACATTGATTCCAAAGAATAGAATGCTAAGTTATATTTAGTGACTTGTTAATAATAGCTAAAATCATACGTTGCCACCACAACTTCCATATTGTTATGCCTCAAAATAATCTCAAACCTAGAAAAAACAATCACAAGCGCATGTTAGTTGCTTTAGGCGCGGCATAAATTAATTATCATGGTTATGAGTACGGTTTTCGTGGCATAACTATGACACATAAATCCAAATTCAAGTATACGTTTACACGACTTGACCTATTAACTTCAAATAATAAAAGTATCATTAACCGTGGATTTTTGACACACCAACCTAACAAGGGAATGGTTCGCGTGACTTGTTCAAGATAAAATAATTCCTAAACAAGCAAATAAAAGCGGAAAATACATAAAATTCCTTAAACCATAGAATATCCAGCATTAATTAAGTTAAGTGTAAATTGTTAAGCGATCGTGCTAAATTACGAAACCCGAGAAGTGCCTTACATCTTCTCCCTGTTTAACAGAGTTTTCTTGCCCGATCTTCTGTGTTCGTGGACCATATTTTGAGTCAAAATTTTCCTTAATTAGGGATTAAATAAATGGTGACTTGAAACATCGAAATGAAACTATTCCAAATAGCGACTCCTTTAAAATAATAAAAATTAATCCCTTTTTAAATACACTTTTATTGAAAAAACTCCTTTTCGCAATTCCCGGGAAAAAAGGAGGTGTGACATTTAATACACATGTTATTGCACTTGAATTGATCCAACATGATTTGCTGCAGTAGTTTTGACAGTAGGAAATACAGCAGGTCTTAAAGCTAATATTGAACCAGGTATTACAGCAGGCACTCCAATATTTGGAGTTACTCTAGAAGTTAGTGAAGCAGCATTCATTTCTGTACTTATTTCAACCCTTGCAACTTGAACTACGATTGATTTAGCAGCAACACTCGTTTCAGCATTCGGCCTCAATTTCTCTTGAAAATTTTGTTTAACACCAGGTGGCTGTGGATTGTTTGACTCATGATGTGTCTTTCCTATATATTGTGATTGGACTCGGTAGCTACAATGTTAACCCCAACGCATTACTATTTCCATTTCTTCTAGCAGCAGTAGAGTCAGATGTCTCATGTACATAATTCTTGCGCAAAAATGTAAGACACAATTAAAACAAATAGGAATGACGTACTGAAAGCTAAATTGCATAAGAAATATACATTACCACCTACATATCTTCTATGCCTCCAAAGAATTGTCTTTTTTCTTGACTACAAGAAACAGATGATTAACGAGGGGGCCTCGCCAATGTTGAAATGCTAAGATGGGTAATACACCTAATATAAACCCTACATAGAACAAGATATCGTTGTCCTTGAACACAAAATACAGCGCACAACCAAAGCTTAGCATCATTGCTTCTATTGAGGCATACAGGGTGAGAAGTCCCCATAACAGACGCTTTGGCAAAACACGGAGAAAATCTTCTTCCGCATAACTAGAAGTTAAAATAGAAACGAACGCAAATAGAGAAATGCAGGCAGTGGAGAGTGACACTGTATTGGAGAACGCAAATGCATTGAAATATCCGTTCTTTGAGAAAATTGGAAGCCCATTTTCGCAGTTTCTGCCACCAGGAACTGTAATTGCTGCAGCAAATGCAATGGTAATTGCGAGCATTGCTAGTATTGCACATGAATTTGCTATCTCTTTCATCCATTTTTCTCCTTCTATCTTTAAATTTCCATGTTGTTCTATAAATACTTGATGAGCAGTTTTACCCTTATTGTTTAAACGCTCATAATAAGAAGGCGGTAACATCTGCTTCACTGCCTATACCACATACAGAGAAAATGCAATGTTAGTCAAAATTTGCATCCCCTTTGTAAATATGGTGTTTAAACAATTGAAATATAGTGATAACATTACATAATATTCTCTCAATCCCAAACTATGTGCAACATTTTGTTTTCTAAGATTCAAACCATGTGAAGTTTGACCGATATTTAAACTGTCTTATAATTCATTATATTGACATGAGAAGAATTATAACTTATAGTAATAATTTTCGTATAGTTTTTGAATACATAAATATTTTTGAATTGATCTGATATAATTTAGCTACGAAAGTTAGTTAAATTAACTTTCGAAAGGCAAAAACCGACACTTATTTAGGACGGAGGGAGTAATCATTAACAAGAAACAGTTTGAGAAAATGAATTACCTCAAACCACCGCAATTCTTCTTGCATTCGAAGAGCTGCGCCAAAAGTATGATTTACTTTGTTTTCAGGTGACAATTGACCAGCCAAATGCAACATCGTATTATTGAATGAATCCAATGAAGTCATGAGGTGATGTCTATGCTGAGACATTTGACAGACCAAGTTATAGACATTTGTACAGCGATTTTCCACTGCAATGGGAAGTATATTCTTCCCATTTTTGTTGCAATGATAAATCAGTAAAGGAAATTTCCCCACAATAATTTCAACAAGTTTGTAATTGTCGAAACGCACGGCTTGAAGGAAAGGGCCGCCAACAATGGACTTGATCTCTTTCTCGCTTGAACTTTCGAGTTTCTCGCAAAGGCACTCTGCTAATTTAATTGCATTTTGGTATTTCCACTCTTTGTCTCGGATATATTCCAATTCAGGTGCTGCAATGCAAGAATAGACATAATAATTTGAGGGACTACAAAGTAAAAGGAATTACTTTAGGGGCCAAAAGTTAAAAGTACGTGGTATCATGAATTCTGAGTCCGGAACCAAAATGACTGAAAAATTATGGAAAGCAACCGAAGTAATGCACACAAAAAAAAAAAAAAAAAAAAAAAAAAAAAAAAAAAAAGGTATAGCTCATGTATTTCAAAAAAATAATTCTGTACCGCAAAATATCTTCTACATGTTTATCTATTTTGCTAAATTTATTTTGAATTAAAGAGGTAAAATAGAAGAGAGATATATATATAAGACTTACAGTTGTTGGTCTTTGGCTTATTCAATAATGCTTCATTGACTGCATTCTCGATATCATTGGCATTTGCTCTATCTTGGAAAATCCATGATGTAGCGCTCGTCACTATATCTTTTTCGGGTAACAAAAATACAAAAAAAACGTGGTTAACTAATTCTTCTATTTTGTTTTATTTTAAATTAACGATAACAGTGTCTATTTATTAATCGAAGAAAAAAAGGAAATTTAACTTACAAGATAGTGGCTTCGGAGAGCTTATATGACTTGTACTGACGAATGATGACGTTTTTGTAGCCAGCTGTGCCAAAGGAGATGATCCATTTGAAGTACTATATTTTGCCAAATCAGGAAAACATTTTACGAGATGCGTCGCAAAATCTGCAACATAAATAAATGCTCTAAAAATCAGAGACAATCTTCGAAGGCAGCACTAAAGAAGATGCCCATCTACGGGGTTCCGGTATACTTTGTTGTAACTCAAGTTCTGGCAAGTTCTAACAAAGTAGACTGGAACTTCAGTATATTATACTAGAGCCACCAAAATATACCGGTCCAGCATAATAAGCTGGAAGTTAATACTCACGTGCACCGAACTTCAGTATATTATACTGGATCGATCTCTGTTGCAATAAAATTGTGGCTATTTTTCAATAACTTGACAAACCTGATTATTTTTTATTGACCAATCCGAAAACTAACTAGCTATTGTAACCGTTTGATGATATATATTCCACATTCAAGTTCCCATGCGTGGTGGGGCCATGAAATTTTTTTAAAAAAAAAAGAAAGGAAAAATAAGCTGAGGAGCAGTACTGGCTCTTCTTACTTTTTGCTTCTAGCAATTTATTATTGTATCTACCACTAGTACTGTCACAAGTCCGGAGGAAATATCAAAAGAAAATAGCAATGCTACTCAAACAAGACCCATGGGACTAGAAAGGGCTATAGTCAAATAGTGTAAGTGAGAAATTTCCAATAATACTACTCGAGGGTTCATTTCAAATAATGAACAAATTGAAACTCTTGTCATGAAAGTTAACCAAACAACGAAATAAAACAATAAAATAACACTATCATATAAGTCTAGGCAGATATAACTTTTTGGTAACGGGTTCATAACCTAAAACTTTCGACATATAATATAAATACTAAAAACTTACAAAAATCTCAACAACGGTTAGCTTGACCCATACTTGTATAGTACATTGACTTGCGCAAAGTTAAACCAATTAATTTTAAATCTTGAATCCACTTTTGCATTTAAAATTAAGAAAAATTATACTCGCTCCGTTTCAATTTATGTGAACCTATTTCCTTTTTAGTTCGTATAAAAAAAATAACTTTTTTCCCTATTTGGAAACAATTTATCTTTATGCAATGATTTATAACCACACAAAATATATATATATGCTTTACTTTACACCACAAGTTCAAAAGTTTCTCTATTTTCTTAAACTTCGTGTCCAGTCAAACGAGTTCACATAAATTGAAACGGAGATAATAGGAAATTGCTATAGAAGATATGTGGCTTACCGTACAAGTCCGAGCAGATCAATCGATAAAGCAGCCTAACACCAGTCCGACCAGTATAAGGAGCAAGATCATTGGTGACACTGAAGAAGTAATGAACCAGATCCACAGATTTGTAACCATATTCAGCTGCTACATGAATCGGATAAAGGCCATTTTTGGATGCAACATGAGCCAAATTAGAGTTTCTGTTGACAAGAATTTTCGCAGCATCTAAGTTGCCAAACCGAGCAGCATAATGTAGAGGCGTTTCCCCGAAACTATCTTTTACAGATAACGCATCATCCGCCATTAAAGCCACCAAATTTTCTACGAAAAACTTAGCATTATCGTTCTTTGACGTAACTGCAATGTGAAGTGCTGTTTGTGTAAAGGAAGTGATCTGAGCTCCACTTGCTTCATTGTGTTTTTTCAAGAATGTTTTTGCCTTTTCCCAATCACCACATAGCGAAGCTCTGTATAGTGGCAAGTAGTACTTGTAATCTTCCTTTGATTCCACGCTCTCTGCTTCGTCAATTATTGGTTGCATTGTGCTACATTCTGCTAAATTAATGGTTAATTGCAGTTAATTAGTACTAAAAATCATAGCAGTCTTTTTGCTTTGTGTAAGAATGTCACCTTGCTTCTTATCCTTGATGAATGTTTCTTGATTTTGGAATATACAGTAAATATATTTGTCTAGCACTATATATGTAGTACTACAGCAATAACAACCCAATAAAATTTCATAAGTGGAGTCTGACAAGGGTTGTGTATAAGCAAAACTTACCCTCGGAGTAAAGATGCGGTTTCAAATATATATGTAGTACGGCACTTTGAAATGTATCTTTTTTTCTTAAATAAAGTTATGTTAGTTGTACGAGCTTAAGTTCATTATTGAAGCATGTAGTTAATCTAGTAAAAGAGTTCAACAAAGAAGAAGAAACCTCACCTTCAAAATTGTCTAGCGATATTACGCAGCAAATATCCTTCAACTCCAACCAAACATCTCTGGCACTGACTTTCTCAAACACATACTCAAGCATATCTTCAGTGAGAGAGCCAAGAATCCATCCCTTAACAAGCCGATCACTTCTTTTCCACTTCAAGTAATTATCTGGATTTTCTAATAAGGGTGTTTGGATTAATGTTCCATCTATGAAACCAACTAATTCTTGACTTTCAAGAAGACAAAGCATCTGTGTTTTCCATATCATATAATTGGAAGAATCAGACAGTTTAACAGTTACAAAATTTGCTATATTAAGCGTTGATGGGTAAGGATATAGATTTCCTGCCTCTGCCATTGATGCAGCAACTACTTAAATTGTGCGTTTGACAGAGAGTGAGATGGAGGAGGGAAATTGGTCAACAGTTGGCTCATTTTCAAGGACAATGATAGTGGTAGTATTAATTTTCCTCGAAGGGTACAAAATGCCCGCGAACTTGAACAGTATTATTCGTACATTAGTTTTGGCACATGCACGTTCAGCTTTTATCAAGTGGCTGTAAAATGTACTATTGACTGGTCACGGAGTTTTAGAAAAAATAAAGATTTTTAAAATCTGTGGTCCTAAACAAGTCAAAAAGGGGTTAAAGTATTTGTGTGGTTATAAAAACTTCTCATTAAAGGTAAAATTGTAAGTTTAAGCTAAATTCTTTCCAAATTTAGAAAGTAATCATTCTTTTTTGAACGAATAAAAAAGGAATATTACCTTTTTAAATTTACTTTATGTGATAAGATGTGCAGAGGCTTTTTCATTTTGGAGTAAAGAAAGAAGACCAACCAAGAATATTTATCATTAAAGTTTAGTCCAATTATTAATCGATATTTGTAAGTCTCGAGGATGTTGTTCTAATCCAACCCATTCAGACAAAACTATTGCGAGACTACATTTCTCTGTCGTTAGTTTATAAATTGCCTAGTTAATCACAATTCTCGTGCTTTATTCTTAAAGCTAGAAACACTTGGGGGAAACACTTACCTAGCTAATTTGCTAAACGTAGCTGCCAGATATTATTTAGGCAGCAAATTTAGTAATTTAGTATTAATCTACTTGCACCTCCGAACCCCAACCCCCTCTCCCAAATAAGAAAAATGAAGGCACTATATTTTCACGTGCTAGATAATGGTGGGTATGTTGTTGCTGTTATTATTGTTAAAGGCACTATATATGAATGGAAAAAATAATAGAAGGCCAAAAATAGAGAGGAGAAAAGGAGCAAATTTTCACTTAGACAAATCATCTAGCAATCTCACAGCGTGGTAACTAAATATTCCACCATTAGCATGCATAAAGAATTAATTGTAAACACATATCTAAATGCAACAATAACGTCTCAATTCCAAACAAGTAGGGGTAGGTGATCCTCATTCCTTTCATTAAACTCAATGTATATCATCATTATTACCAAAATAAAATAAAAAAAATAAGTAAATAACAATAATAACAATAATAATAATAGTTCTCTACCAAGTCTAGGTATCACCTATAGATTTTTTTTCATTATGTCCTATTTTTAGCTAAGTGTGCATTGATTCCAATGATTTATAGGTCTTTTGAGACAATTTCCTTCCATGTGAGTTTATGTATACCTCGTCTCCTTTTAATACCTTCCCTCATCGTGGTTTTATATCGATGGACCGGTGCCTCTATAGGTCGATGCGGACATGACCAAATCATCTCAAGCGGCCTTTTTTGTGATGACCTTTTGGGTCATCACTTGTTTTTAAAATAAATTCCGCATTCCGAGGCCTTAAAACCTATTTTGACATCACATCAATTTGCGTGCGCAGTCCGGGTGCGAAGCCGGAAAGCCATCATGTGAAAATTTATGAAAAATGATAAATTTTGACTGTAAAATGAATTAAGTTGACTTCGGTCAATATTTTGGGTAAACGGACCCGAACCCGTGATTTGACGGTCCCGGAGGATCATAGGAAAATATGGGACTTGGGCGTATGCCTGGAATCGAATTCCGAGGTCCCAAGCCCGAGAAATGAATTTTTACAGAAAATTATTTTCTGGAATATTTATGAGTTTTTGAAAATGAAATGTGTTTGAAACTTCGTGGTATCTGGCGTATTTTGGTTCCTGCGCTCAGTACAGGTCCTATATGTGATTTAAGATAAGTCTGTAAAGTTTGGTACGAAACGGACGTGAAATGATGTGAATCGGATCGTTTTTGAGAAAATTTGAAAGTTTGAAGTTCTTAAGAAAATTTCATGATTTTGATGCTAAATTCATAGTTGTTGATGTTATTTTAGTGATTTGAATGCACGAGCGAGTCTGTATGATGTTCTTAGGGTGGTGTGCATGATTGGTTTGGTGCCCCGAGGGCTCGGGTGAGTTTCGGATAGGCTACGGAGTGAAATTTTAATTTAGGGAATTGCCGGTATGCTTTAGGCCTGCAGGCTTCGCATTTGCGAAGCCTATCTCGCAAATGCAAGAGGTGGCATGGGCTGCCTTCTTCGCAAATGCGAAGTTTCAGTCGCAAATGCGACGCCTGCCTGGAATCCCCTATAGTCGCAAATGCGAGACCCCAGTCGCAAATGCGAGAACCCCCTTCGCAATTCCCAGCATAGCAGAGGTCGGGGTTCGCAATTGCGAACCCCTGTTCGTATTTCCCATAACTGTGACCTGCAACTTTTATACTTAGCCGAAAATCAACCATTTTTCACATCTTTCCAAAACATAAACTTCCTAGGGCGATTTTTCAAGAACAACTTGTTTACCGTGAAAATGGTAACAACAATTAAATTTATAAATGGGATTCTAAAAATATGTGATCTATTCTCGAGCTAGTTGTTATAGCAGTTGATGCTAAAAAATACTAAGTGTAAAGATAAGAGGCGAGCTAAGATGAAGCATTAAGCAAACCGAAAGGGGCTTGTTGCCCGAGCGTGGAGCGGGTCGATGGGATCCTCGAGGCCAAAGCTTAAGCCGAGATCGAGTTATCAGGGATAGTCGGGAAGGGGATAACAAGTAGAAATGCAATTAAGTGAGGCTCTTTATGGACAATATTGAGCTATGTATTGAAGAACGGGTAAAGAGACAATAAATATTAGGATGATCTCGAGCCAATGAGAACAAATGACTTAGAAGAAGAGAGAGAGAGAGAGATTATTGCTCTAATGGAGAAGTGGAGCTATCTCCCCCCTTTTACAAGGAGGGGCGAGTCCCCTTTATATAGGAGGGGAATCTCGGCTACAAGTACGTGGGAATTAAGTACAAAATATGGTGATGGGATGGCTTGACATGACGCTACAACATAGGCTCTATATAGGCCGGGTCTGTTAGAAATACCCGCGTGCCTAGAGGGTTCCCCCCTCTTGTTCTGACTTCGTTCTTCGTTTCCTCTCTCGGCGGGTTCCAGGTCGAGAACTCGGTCGCGACTTCCTGCCCCCGAAGTCCCGAGGCATGCCCCCGGAATGTCACGACAATGGGAAATCAAGTCATCTAATTTCACTGCGCATAGATAGTCTCCGCGTTTCCCATATCGAAGAGATGGGAAATGATTTTGACATTTGACTCTTCGAACTTCTTTCGGTGATGTCATGTCGATAGTGTGACCCCTGGGTCATTTTTCGATGCCATTTATTGCACTCCTATTTCTCATTCTTCTAGGCTAAGGTACCGCCGTTGTTTCGTTTTTCCATGAATGTATTATCTGCACTTCGTCGGTCAACTTTCCTCGGCCTAGATGACCGTGCCGTCATCCCCTATAAATGGGTATGCCTTGGCCTTGTTTCTCCTATCTCCGTGCTTCTGTTGGCTTGTTCGCCTCCCCCCTTATTTTCTTTCACCACAGAGCCTCATGTTACGAGCTCATGATTTTAAGGCCATATGGAGGAGTTCTTTTAGACTGTGTTGTAGCCTTCCGCTGGAGCTTTATTTTGCTGAAAGCAGATGCACCGTCCCGCTATCACCGTGGATGCTAATATACCGACCCTTGACGCTACTGCCGGGCCGAGATGATGGTGGCTAGAGAGTCGGTTCCTCACTCATGTAGATGGCTGCTCGGATTATGCACTGCTGCTCATTCTCCTACCCGGGCCTGGTGTGGCACTTCATCCCTAGGGTTCTCTTTTTTCCCAAGGGATAAGGTGGCAACACCGGATGCTGAGGCAGGGGCTCGTCGGGTTTTCACCTTTGACTTCGGTAAGCCATGTCTCTTTTCTCTGCCTCCTCTGTGCCCCCTCCTTTTCCTCTTATTCATCTTTTCCGTTGGGAATCCCTCGGGGGATTGAGCTGGGAACCTATGGGAGGTGGAGATCGAACGAGTCACCCTCAAGCATATGTTCTTCGAGGGTGTGGTGTCTGGGGATGCTGATACCATAGATGAACCCACTAGGGCGGACCGGGCGCCCGAGTTTCATTACATGTACATCCTTCTGTTCCTCTGCTTTAGGCATGGAAGTCCTCCGTAGGCTTTTGTAATTTTATGTAACGAACCCTCGAGGGTTGCTTTTACACAAACTTTTATGAATAAAAATGAACTTTGTTGATTTCTGGTTTCGAATTTGCTTTGTTTTCTGTGTGCTTTCATGCCCTTCGAATGTCTCCTTCTATTGTTGATCGCTGATATCAAGCTCGGTCGTAAGTATTTATGTCGATCCTTTGTTGATCGACATGGCTCTCTTCTGAATTTGTTACTGAGCTTCGGACCAGTCTCAAACTGATCTGATAGGTCGGGGCTATCGAGGCCCTTTGATTTGTTCGAAGATCACGCGTTGAGTTCCGAGACCTCCGGGGGTGCTACTCCAGATGTAGGTCATCGTTGGGTACCCGGGGGTCCCTATTAGTCTTGATGTATATGGCATCTCCAGACCATATATAAGATAGACTTCTGCTGAGGAGCTTGCGTGTAATTTTTTCTATCAGAGCTTCCTGCATTTACTCTTCCCCCTTAGAGAGAGTGACTTGTGAGATTAGTTGTTTGCCTTGCACTAAGCGTCGGTCGTCGAGAGCTCATCGAGGCTCGACCTCTTTAGGCAGGGATTTCTTGTCGGAGAGTGCTCCTTCGAGCATGGAGATGATACGAATGACTCTTCAAATTATGATTCTTCGTTAGAGGATATTTCTGGGACCGAGTATCGGCCCGTCGATCTGTCTCGAGGTCGCGGGCTTCCTGGGGTTTGCCTCGGGCAGATGAATCGTTGCTGTCTTTCGTATATACGTAGAGCGGCCTCGGCTTTTTCATAGGACTTTACAATTTTTGCATATCCACCTTTCTGTTCTGGTATAGAGTACTGCATCTTCTTAGGCGCGAGAGTGATGGTAGGTACCTTTGCTTTGGCCTATTAGTTTTGCCATAGCCATGGAAACTGCTCTGGGGCCGATCCGACAAGGGGTCGGGAG